CCCCCCCCTCCCTGGTGACAAAAAGAGCTAGGTGTCACATTCATTACATACTCACACTCATTGCAGAGTAGCATTAGGAGGCAAGAAGAAGAGCAAGCCAGATAAATAGAGCAGGCAGTCACAGTCATGTCAGCACCGCACCCATGCACTCAGGCAGGCAGGCAGGCAGGTAGGAAGTCAGTCGCGTCTCTCAGCTCTAGTTATTTACACACCTTCATGCCCACACCAACATGCTCTCGTGCTCTGCCACATGCACAGGTAGAGAAGACTACACACACGTACCCTCACTCCCTCCTCCCTCACCCACATCTATGGACCTCCCCTCTCTCCCTCCCTCCCTCCCTCTCATCGTGTTGTCTCTCGTCGGGTTGGCTGTCTCGCTCGGTCGCTCGCCGTGAGGGGCGTTGCCTTTGGCGGGAGGTCCCCATCACGTGGTACACGTATTCGTATGCACACTCAGACAGACAGACAGACAGCGATCGTCGCTCGATCAGACATTCAGGCAGAACGACCACTTCACTGCAGGCAGAAGACAGGCAGACAGACAGAGAGAGAGGTCAGCACAGGAGCACAGGCAAGTGAGAGTAGTGGTGGTGACCCCAGTAGGGCATGGGATGGATGGATGGGTGCCCGACGATGTGTGAGGGTGATGTGAGCGATGGACGGACGAGAGGAAGATGCAGTCAGTCAGTCAGTCAGCGCAAAACAGAGTAATCATCACTGGCCCGCAAAACAACGAGGGGAGAACCAAGCCTGCCTGCACACGAACTCTGTGTATGTGTGTGTGTGTGTATGTGAGGCGATGGGACGGGAGGGGAGGGGAGGTGGGGCAAAATCGACGAATCAGTCTAGTCAACCTGTCTGTCTGCCAGCCTAGCGACTAGTCTCCCACGATCAATCAAGCACTCAAGGACTTGCCTCCTTGCCTTCCTCCCCTCTCCTCTCCTCCCCTCCCCTCCCTCCCTCGCTCTCAAGCAAGACCCAAATCCCACTCGCTAACCCCTTCCGCCACACCATCCATCCCCCGCCCTGCCCCCTTCCCTTCCTCTCTGTACACGCACGCACCAAGCGTGCAGCGAGTGCGGCAGTGCGGCAGGCAGCAGCTAAGTGCAAACTAGCAAATTCGATGATGTTAATCCACCTCTATCTATTCGACTCGGGAGGCTAGCTGGTCCTGACGATGACCCTGTTGCCGAGCTTGACGAGGGCTCTCCGTGCGGGCGAGTCGGGCAGCACCGACAGCCACTCCACCGCCTGCTGGGCGTGCCATCGCGCCAGGCTCTTGGTCCGCTCCAATCCCTGCACGCCATCAACACACACAGGAGAGGAGACCAGTGACGGACGGAGGGGTTTGCCGGAGTCGATGTGATGCACGTGCTATGCTCGTCGGCCGACCTTGCTCCTCTCGAGTAGTTTCCTGGCGCGGTCCACATCACCCGGCTGCTTGAACTTGCGCCGTATCATGGCATTCAGCTCGGGATACTCCTCTGCTGCAAAGAGGATTGGCGCAGTGGCCTGGCCGTTGTTCAAGTCAGAACACGCCGGCTTGCCTGATCGACAGAGACGACACGAGCAAGAAGAGACAAATGAGCACCCACTAAACGGACGGATGGGGGGGGTCCTCTGATTCGCAGCTTACCGAGGAGGTCAGCCGACTGAGTGAAGTCGAGCAGGTCGTCTACTATCTGGAAGGCCAAGCCAAGATGGTACCCATACTTCTCTGCCGCGACCGTCTCCTCACTGGTCGACGCGAAGCCTCCCAGCAGTGCCGCGCTTCTCGTCGAGCAGGCGATGAGGGAGGCTGTCTTCATGTAGGTCTTCTTCATGTACCTGCAAGTTTTGCCACAGAAATGCGAACCTTTCCGAAAGGATGGTAGACGGGCGTGATGTGCTGACCAGTCGAATGTTGTCAAATCGTCCGGCTCGGCCTTGGCCTGCATCACCTCGCCCGTCACAAGCGAATCAAGCGCATTGGCCATCGTCTCGACGACCTCCACGTTTCCAAGCTGAGCAAGGAGGACCGACGCTCGCGCGAGTAGGAAGTCTCCCGCGAGCACAGCCACTTTGTTGGAGTAGAGCTTGTGCACAGAATCACCGCCTCTCCTCGTCTCAGCGTCGTCCAGCACGTCGTCATGAATGAGCGACGCAGTGTGGATCATCTCTGTGATCTGACAGACAGACACCACACCACACCACAGCACACAAGGCGCATTCCCTCGCGTGTGCCGGCTCTCGTCTCCTCCCTCCCGTGTGTGTGTGTGCGTACCTGGCCGAGCCGCCTTTGCTTGTCGTACACGTCAGCACTAGGCATGTCGTCTACATCCTTGTATGACACGCTGTCCCCCACATCCGCACCACTGTTGGCCGCGGCAGCAGCCGCCCGTGAGATGAGCATCACTATGGTCGGCCGGAACTTTTTGCCGCTCTTGAGGCTGAAGAAGTGGGAAGCCGCCATCTTCAGCACCGGGTGGTCCGTGTCCACCACTTCTCTGACCTGGTCAGCAAGGGACAGTAGGTCGTCACCGACATAGTCAAACGGATCAGGGCCGCTAGGCGGGCTGTTGACATCGACGAGGGACTCCACTTTGGCATTGACAGGCTGAGCCGCAAGCACACGCTCGCGTGGGCGAAGCGCCAAGCGATGTGAAGAGCGGGCAGGGGAGGCGGCTTGAGGGGCGACAAAGCCTTCAGATGCCTCAAGCAGGGCGGAGAGGTCATCGTCATCGACAGGCCTCACGGAGAGCGCCCGGGAGAAGGTCAGGAATGTGGTGCTGAGGGCCAGAAAAGAGAGCAGGGATGAAACCATAGTCAGATGATAAGTAAGAGAAGAAGTGGGAAGATGATAAGACAACACCAGAAGATCAGATGATGGAGACTACCCTCTTTTGGCAGTTCAACGGCCAGTGATCGCGAGCTTGAAATGGCGTCTGACGAAGTGAGGCGAGTGAGTGCCTGGCACTGACACAAGGTAATATCTGCCTCAAGCGCACGACATAAAGCTTCACATGGCTTTGTACATGGGTGCATCTCTGTCTTGCAGCACGGCCATCTCAAGTCGAGGGACAAGATGCCAAGATCACGATGGCGGAGCTTGAGAGCAGCGTTATGTGTTGCCGTATGCGTCAGTGCCGCCGTCGCGTCATCGCTCGATGAGTCATTCCTGCAGTCCCGTGACTCCCGTCCACCGTCGGCCTTCACACCCAGCTTTCGTCCCATCCGGCGCTCTCTGACACGGCCACGCGCATCAGTGGCCACTGCAGAACCTGAAGCAGCCGTCGCAGCCGAGCAATCGGATCTCCCATCTGTAGCCAAGAGGCAGCGTGTTCTGTCGGGGATTCAGCCGACGGGTGCGCTTCACTTGGGCAACTACGTTGGAGCTATTCGACAGTGGGTCAAGAACCAGGACAAGTACGACAGCTTCTTCTGTGCCGTGGACCTGCATGCCATCACTCTGCCGCATACGCCATCTAAACTACGCCAGGAAACCTTACAGGTAGGTCCGTCTTCCACTCTGCGTGTCATGCTCATTTATTCTCTCTGTTTTGGGCTGGGCGCGGTTGCAGGCGACTGCCCTCTATGTCGCGTGTGGGATCGACCCCGACCGCAGCTCGGTGTTCGTGCAGTCGCATGTGCCAGCGCACACCGAGCTAACGTGGCTGCTCAACTGCATCACGCCCGTCGGCTGGCTCGAGAGGATGATCCAGTTCAAAGAGAAGTCCCGCAAGCTATCAGCCGAGAACATCGGCGTGGGTCTGTTTGGCTACCCCGTGCTGATGGCGTCGGACATTTTGCTGTACAAGGCCGAGGTGGTGCCTGTGGGCGAGGACCAGGTGCAGCACATCGAGCTCACGCGCGACGTGGCGCGGCGGTTCAACGATCTGTTCTGCAAGAGGCAGCGGCGGAAGGATGTGTTCGTGGAGCCCGAGACGCTCTTGGTCAAGGAGGGGGCGAGGGTCATGTCGCTACTGGATGGGACCGCCAAGATGAGCAAGTCGGACCCCAATGAGGGCTCACGCATTAACCTCCTTGACACACCTGAGGTAGGTGGGTCGACCGGACGGACCTCACTCACATCCCGGATAGCAAAAGTAGCCAGCCGTGATCTCTCTTGTGTGGTGTGTATGTATTGTGGTTGGTGTAAACCGCAGACGATTCAGAAGAAGATCAAGAAGTGCAAGACGGACCCCGTCCAAGGGCTCGAGTACGGCAACCCCGACCGACCCGAGTGCACCAACCTCCTCACCATGCTATCAGCCATCTCCGACCAGCCCGTCGACGCCATCCTGCAGCAGTACGGCGACCTCGGCTGGGGCGCCTTCAAGCCGGTCCTCACCGACGCCCTCGTCGAGCACCTGGGGCCCATCCAGCAGAGGTATAGGAACCTTGTCAGCGACCCCTCCTATCTGCAGTCGATCCTCCGGCAAGGGGCCGAGAAGGCCAATGCAGTAGCCTCCCAGACACTGAGTGAGGCCAAGGACGCCATGGGCTATCTCTCTCTCGACGACGTCTCGTCGCTGCGGCTAGAGAGTGCGGAGGAGGGAAGTGGCGAGAGGGAGAAGGGCGACATATCGTTGCTGGAGATCCGAGTGGGCAGGATACTCGAAGTGGAGAGGCATCCTGACGCTGACAGCCTCTATGTCGAGAAGGTCGACCTGGGCGAAGGCGAGCCACGGACGATAGTGAGCGGCTTGGTGCCCTACCTCTCGCAAGAGGAGCTTCAGGGCCGCAACGTCATCGTGCTCTGCAACCTGAAGCCACGTGCTATGCGCGGCATCAAGTCGGAGGGCATGCTGCTGTGCTCATCCTCACCGGACGGCACTCGAGTGGCGCCTTTGTCGCCGCCCGAGGGAGCTGCATTGGGTGAGCTGGTGACGTTTGATGGTTGGGCGAGTGAGCCGGTGGCTCCGGGGAACAAAGCGGGCAAGGCATTCGACCGCGTCGCTGAAGACCTGTCCGTCGGTGAACAAGGGGTAAGTCAGATCAGTCAGGCAGCCAGTATGTATGGGCGACGGGGGGAGGGAGGGAGGGAGGGAGGGAGTGTGGCTTAATTGTGTTTCTGTAGGTAGCCACATTTCGTTCGGTGCCGTTCCAGACGTCGGCTGGTGCGTGCACATCGGAGATACCGGGCAAGATCAGCTAGCTGATGTGCCTGCCGTGCATGTGTGCATCAGATATGTGGATGGGATGTGGGTGAGACATTGACATTGACCTTGTGTCTGTCATGCGCAAAGCACCGACCGACCTACCGACAGATCGATGGATGGACGTGCTGCTGCTTCTTGAGTGAATGGCCGTGCAGGCAGTGGTCTGGTGTTCGTATGTGTCTTCCGTGGACATGGACACGCACGTGGAGTCGACGAGAGAGAAGATGAGTCACAGTCACCACCACCATCACCACCACCATCATCACTTTCAGACAGGAATGCACCGGTGTGTGTGTGCGCGATATGACTGACGCAGATGCGGAGGGCACCAAAGGTGCCCGAAGCTACCCGGGACACACCACAGACAGACAGACAGACAGACGGACGGAGAAAGCCACAGACAAAGAAAAGGAAGGCAAAACAGAATGGCACACGGCGCTTGAGCGAAGAAAAGAAAACCTCGCTAGCTCAGAAATCCACATGACGGTGCGTTCCCCGGTAAAGACAGACAGACAGACAGACAGACAGATAGAGAGGCGAAAGAGAAGCATCGGCCTTTTGCCAATGCCCGTCACGTCACGCGCCTGTTGCCCTTCCCCCCTCGATCTGCGTTATCTGATACATAATTCATTGGCTGTACACATGAAAACCGCGACACACACACACACCCGCACGCCCACACCTGTGAGTGCGCCACTGCGCATACAGAGAGAGACCACAAAAAGGAAAACGAGCTCTGCCCATCCCGGCCCCCACGACCCTCTCGATCACATCATCCTCGTCTGTCAGCTCAGCTCAAGAGCAGCACGCGCCGGGGTCCGCCATCGCTGGGAAGGGGAAGAGGCAGGTCCTCGCCTTCACACCCTGGACGCACAATCAAACAAGCAAACAAACAAACAAACGTGCATCAATGCAGGAACACCAGCCTCCTCACGCTAAAGTACCGAGTCGGGAGGGGCACGGGCGGCCCGATTGCTGCAGACGCCGGGGGCCACCATCGCTGGGACGGGGGAGGGGAAGGGGGTCGCCTTCGCACCCTGCAAACACACACACACGGATGGCACACTCGACAAACCTCCTTACTGGGGTGCACGTGTGTCTGGCTTACCGAGTCGAGAGGGGCAAGGGCGAGTGGTCCCCGGGCCTCGTAGCCGTCGGAGGCGATCAGGGATGGGCCGCGGCACTGGGCCTGGCCTGTTCGTGTCACCCTCGGGGACAATGGCGGTCGCCACTGCGAGAAGGCAGACGGTCACTCCGAGCAGGAAAGCCGAGAAACGAGCCATCTTTCTCGACGCGGACGGAAGCTGGAGAGCGAGGGGGCAGCTGGCGAGGGTTCAGGAGGAAATAGCCAGCGAAAATGACCGAGAATGACCGAATGAGGTTTTTATACAGTGTACAGTACCAGAAGGATCGCGGAACGGTTCTCGACTTTTTCCAGGAGCTGGCTCCCTCCCGTCTCCCAGCCCGTATGGCGTCATCGAGCGCACGTTCGTCGCAGTACTTGCCTGAGGAAGTGCCCTCTGCCAATCCACCACCGTCAGCAGGAGTGCCAGGCCTCTCCCGTGCCGTGCCCAGCCTCAGAGCAAGCCCCAGAACCGTCGTCACGCCCACTCCGAGGGCCTTATCGAACATCCAGAGGGTGGGCATGCAATGCATGGCAATGGCTGGGCGAGCCACCGTTGACCCACACATGTGGTGACTGTTGTCTGTGCAGCCGGAGAGGCGGCCTCAGCACCGGCTGCCGGGGGCGCCCGACACCGAGGCGTGGCTCAAGTTCTTCTGTCGAGGGCTGATTGCCACCCTGACTGTGCTTACGATGTTCCTTGGGGGATGGCTCTTGATGAAACTGATGACAGCTGGACGGAACTAAGTCGTCTTGCATGCCGTGTGCTGAGGGGTAGCAGAGCCATTCATTCGATTGCCAATAGGCCGTCAGTGAGTGCACTGACTGACAAGAGAGCGATTCAGACAGACAGACAGACAGACAGGCACGCACGCAGACATACACGCAGACAGACATATATGGTGTCTTGGGTCGGTCGGGGAGGGGAATTAGCTAGTAGGGCATAGCATGTACTCACGCACACCGTGGATGGATGTGGATGCAGGTCACTCACTCACTGACTGACTCATCAATCATTCCAAGTCACAAATAAGACTGACTGACTGAATCAATCAATATACTTATTGGGTGGATGGGATGGATGGGTGGGTGGGTGGGTGGGATGGGGTGGGATGACCTCACCCCCGTCCGTTCGGGACGCGTGTACCCTCTCGTCTACTGCTTACGTCTCGCGGCCGGCCTATATAAAGCTCCCTCACGTAGCACACAGGCAGGCAGGCAGGCAGGCAGACAAAGAGAGAGACGCACACACGCACCCACCATTATCCAGCCGCAGCTCGGCAAACGGCGGGGACCACTGAGCAAGTTCACATCCGCCCGCTCGCCCAGGGACTTCATTCATTCATTCATTCGACAGCCACTGAAAAACTGCTTTCTCTGTCTTGTCTTGTCTGTGGTTGACCTTACAAAGGTCCTCCCTCACATGCGCACACACAACAAAAGGTTCTTCGCTCCCCTCCAGCCCATGGCCTCGCCTTCCCACGTTTCTGTTGCTGGCCTTATCTGAAGGCAGAGAGACAGCCAGACAGACGGCAGGGCAAGGCAAGACCGACAGCCATTCACCACACAGGCAGAGGCAGGCAGCCAGGGAGGGGGACGTGGGGAGTGGGAGACGGGGAGTCGAGGGCAGCAGCAGACAGCAGCAGACACCGGCATACGACGGACGGACACGCCGTTCATGTCATGCACTCGCTCAGTCGTTGGTTGATGCGATGCACACGCGGCAAAAGCCAGCTCACAAAGAAAGCACTTCTTGATTGATAAAAAAGGGCGGACGGACGGACTTCCGGGAGGCACACGATAGATAGATAATTAGAGATATGGGGGGTTACATTAAACAGACAGACTCAGACAGACACGGTGGGTGCGGTGCATACCATTCATCTCATCCATACAGCCGAGCCGCCACGGAGAGGGGGAGGGGGGGAGAGGAAAAACATACAGACACCGAGTACCAGCAGCAGCAGCAGCAGCAGGTGAGGGGACACACACACGTCTTCCCAAATCGATGAATAAACAGCAGCGCCCGGGTGTTTTCATGTGTGTGTGTGTGTGTGTGTGTATGGCGGCTACAGCCCTCGCTCGCGCGCTAGGCCCTGTACACGCAACACGGTTCGCAAACAGCAGGCAGCCACGGAGATAGATAAAGACCCCCTCAGCCAGCCAGCCCCTCATTGAATGCATTGCAATCACGGACGCGCACATCTCTCTTTTGGGGACGCATTGGTCTGTCTGCCTGCATGCCTACGTACTTACTCTACCAGGTACTTACGTACCCATTCACAAAGAAGACACTCGTCGTATATACAACAGCGCCCGCCCTCCCGCCCTCCATCCATCCATCCATCCCACCATCCCACCACCCACCACACACACGCACAGAGAGAGGGGGGGCGGGGGCAGGGGAGGGAGGGGAAGGGGGGCCGCCGCAGAACCCCAAAAGCTCACGACAGGTAAGGAACAGCCATTGGTCTCTGTCCGCTTGATCGTTGGTTGCTTCAATCGTTGTTGCTGCCTCCGAAGAGCATGAGGATGAACAGGAATATGTTGATGATGTCAATATACAGCGCCTGACACACACGCACACCCACACCCACACCGCATTCACTGGTAAGCCTGTCGACCGTGTCCTGTGTGTGCTGTGCTGAGCTGGCTGGAGGGACTGACCAGTGCTGCGAAGACATAGTCGTCGACGGAGAACTCGAATGTCCGGTGTTTGCCTCCGACCAGCAGCTGCGTGTCGTAGACGAGGTAGAGCGAGAAGATGAGGGCCCCCGCGGCGCCGTACACCTTCTGCAGGATGGGCACGGTAGGGATGAAGAAGGCCGCTATTATGCCAAACAACAGCAGCACTATCAGCGCCACAAACAGGTAACCTCCTTTGGCTGCAGACACAGACACACACGGACAGAAAGAGAGGTAGAGAGCATAAGACAGCATCGTGCCGGGCAGCACGATGATGGATCCGATCCGATCCGATCCTCTTGGTTGTGTTTGTACTTACAGGTGAAGTCGATCTTGGTTTGTATGGCGAATAGCGTGCATGCGATGAAGACCCCCGCGGTGATGCCGACGGCTACGCCCACCGCCGTTATGTCATACTGCGTCGTCACCACCTGCACACACAATGAATGCCATGTGTTGCGAGGAAGGGAGGCACGATTGATGTATGTCGTTCTGGTGCCTACTTACGCCAACTAGGAAGCCCTGTGCGGCCGTGAAGAGCAGCAGCAACACATAGTTGAGCGGGAAGGTTCGCGCAGGGCCGGAGCAGCACGACAGAGCTGAACACACACACACAGATACAGATACAGACACAGACACAGACACAAGAGGTGGGTGCATCACACGGACGGGATGTGAAAGAAAGAGCTGCTCCGGTCGGTGTGTGCTATTTTGCGTACCGATGAGGGTTCCGAAGGTGAGCACGAGTGCCAGGATGAACAGCCAGCTGTTGTTCGTCAGGAAGGTCTTCGCCCCGGGCGCATAAAGGATGGCACAGCCGATGCCAAAGGTGATCTGAACACACACGCAACGCAACAAACCAACACATCAGTTAGCACAGGTTGCCGCTTCCAGTCAGTCTGCCCGTCTGTCTGCCCATCTTGGTGCCAGCCACGTGTGGTCCTTTCCCTCCCTCCCTCCCTCCCTTCCTCCCTCCCTCTCTCACCAGCAGTTGTATGCTGAGGACAGTGTAGACCTTGCGGATGAAGCCGTGCCTGATCTCAATCGGCAGGTCGGCGTGCATCATGGTCCCGCCGCCATACGCCGTCCCCCCATACCCACCGCCGTACGCGCCCACATCGCCATAACCGCCACCGCCACCGCCTGCATAGCCAACAGCCGTGTTGTTGCCCTGATAGGCTACTCCACCCGCTACCACAGGGCCGTGGACGACGGGTGAGGGGATGGCACCCATCGGGTATGCTCCCTGGCCGTAGTTGGTGCCGTATGCGGTGGTCTGGACGGGCTGGGAGGAGGTGTTCTGATAGGGTGGCTGGGTGGAGGTCTGGCCGTAGTTGGCGGCGGGGGGGTGGTTGCCGTAGCTGGGCGGCTGGACGGCATATGGCTGTTGCGGTAACCCTTTCTCCGGGTCATACATCGTGTGGAAGAGCGCGTTGGTGTCTGTCGTGTCGAGTGGCCGCTTCTTGCTTGGCAGCGTCAGTCACGAACCGCGGAGCGAGAGAACAGAGATCTATCGCCCTTGTCTATCGAGCCTTGAGATTATTTGCCCAAGCAACCCACAAAGTTGGAGAGATCTTGGCACACCCGCTTCGCTCTCTGTTGCTGTCGTGCGACTTTCTCCGTGTTGCGAGCTCAGAATCGCGAGAGCTCCGTGAAACCGCTCTCTCGGGGCAAAAAGGGCGGCTAGACGGATGGTTTTGACCGAAGCTGGCACCCCGGCTCTTGTCGCCCTGGCAGTATGCTCATTCATCGTCACGTGGGCGGTCTCTTTTGCCTCCTGCACTGTGCTGTCACGCACGCCAGAGCTGCTAAAGGAACGGCTCAAGGGCGTCTTGTGCTTCGGCGTCGCCGCCATGCTGAGTGACGTGTTCCTGGTGAGATCTGCAGATAGAGTAGACAACTACCCGGCCAGATCCTCACTGTCTGGCTGTCTGTTGTGTGTGTCTGTGTGCGGTGCGTGTGTGTTATGCTGCAGCACATCATTCCTCACGTGTACGGCGATATGGCGAAGCTTGATAGGTAACGAACGGACAAGAACAGACAGAGATGGGAGTGGTGTGTGTGTGTTTGCCGGCATGCCATGGGTGGTCTGTCTGTCTGCGCAGCGCCAGTGTGGAGGAGTCGATGGTGACCAACGGGGTCGGCTTCCTTCTCGGAATCGCCGTTGCCCATGGCCTCGACATCCTCCTGCAGGCCTACCACGTTGAGCCCAGCTCACCACATGGCGAAGAGCAGCAACACGGTGCCGACACCAGCGATGCACAGCACGACAGTGTCGGTGAGAAGGTCTCTTTGCGACTGCGGGCGACGGCAAAGGGAGAGGCGGAAGAGGGCGAGGATAGAGAATTGGTCAGCAGGGAGGGTGGCGGTGGTGCCAGGCGGGCCGCGTTGCCATTATGGAGGGTGCTGAAGCCTGTGGCTGCTCTCAATCTCATGTCTGACCTGCTGCACAACGGTACGGTGAGCAGGGGACTTAGTGATGTCATTCATGTCAATACATCAATAAACGGCACCATGTATGTCATCGCAGGTCTCGACGGGATGAGCATCGCGGTGTCATTTCAGACCAACCGGCGCATCGGTCTGTCCACATCGCTGGCCATCCTGGCGCATGAAGTCGCGCAGGAATTCGCAGACTTCGCTATACTCGTCCACTCAGGTACGTTCGTTCACAGCTTGCCAAGCCAGGAACCACACACACTCCTCCTTATCTCTTTCCCTCCCTCCCTCCCTCTAGGCCTGTCGCCGTATCAGGCACTCGTCCTCAACGTGGCGGTGTCTTTTTCTGCCATCGTCGGAGGTGCTCTCACCCTCCTGCTCGGGGCCGGTCTCTCTGAGTTGTGGAAAGACTTCCTGCTGTGTTTCGCCGGCGGCAACTTCCTCTATATTTCTCTGTTCGAGATCCTCCCCGAGACGGTGACGGCCACGACGGCCGGCGGAGGTGATCAGCGAGGCGGCCAGCGTGTTGCGGGCTTCCTGCTGGGCTTCCTGTGTCTGTATGGCGTGCGGTGGATGGAGCAGTAGCGTAGGTGGCCCTGACGATCGAGCGCGTGAAGTGCAGCGAGCCAGTCACTCTCAGCGTGTTTGCTGTGCTGTGCTGTGCTGTGTGGGCGTTTTTTGGGGTCTGGAGAGGCCAGAGAGACAGAGAGAAAGAGGGAGAGAGAGAGAGAGAGAGAGAGATGGCGTGTGGGGTACACTCGCACTGTACATAGGCTAGGCGAGTACTGTCGGTGGGTAGGTAGCCTGCCCACCAGGGCACATAGCACTGCGTGCAACTCACCATGGTTTAAGTAGCGATGCATCTCTCAGTTTTGGTTGAACTCACTGCATGCATGTGGTGTGGCATTGGACTCAATCTATCAAATCCGTCATATACCCAACGTGGCACTCTCCAGCGCAACTAACCCCTGCCCAACCGGCGTCACAAGTACTTCGGACAGACAGAGGCAGATACAATACACGCAAATAAATACGCGGTGGACAGATGAGAGAATGATCAGTCGATATATCGCCGTCACACACACGGATGGAATGGAGATGGAGCCGATGTCTTGAATCAATCACACACACGAACGAGAGATTCGTCGCACTACTGACTCCCACGCCCCCATCCCACGGTCTTACAAGGACGAAGCCACGGGGGGCACACAAGTACATATCGTACCGACACACATGTATGTAATCAATCCACAATCAATTCAAGTCAGTCACAGCAAAGCCAGGCAGCCGCGATCAGTCGCTTGGTCAGCCAGCCAGTCAGTCAGTCAGTCGGGCAGGAGGATGACCTTGATGGACTCGGAGGACTTGTTGACCATCTCAATGCCCTCGACCACCCTGCTCAGGGGCAGCCGGTGGGTCACGATCTCTGAAAAAGGCAGGCCGTGACAGTCATGCAAGGGCGTATGTATTCTCTGGCTGTCTGCCTGTACGTATCGCGGTCACCTTCAACGGGTATCTGTTTCTTCTCAATCATGCTGATTGCCTTGGGGAACGTCCTGGTGTGATAGGGAGAGAGGGACGAGACATCCGTGGTGATCCATGTGTGTGCACTGCACCGACCAACCCACTGACCTGGGTGAGAGGTGTCCACCCACGATGGTGAGCTCCTTGCAATCGCCAATGATCGACCAGTCAGCCGTCGTCTCCTGCCACATACGCACACGCAAACACACCCCCTAATCGCCGTCCGTCTTGTCGACACGCACACTGCTGTCTTCGTCTGCAGGTGTGCTCGAAGCACCTACCTTGCCGAACACGGAGAACTCAACGAATCGGCCCATTCTGGCGATCATGTCCAGCCCCTGCCAGGCCAGGCAGACACATTCATCAATCAGCCGACCAACAACAACCGACACTTTGGCGTGGAGAGCATATGGTTGAGTGTATCGGGGTACCTGCACGACTGAGTTGGGGTGTCCCGTGGCTTCGATATAGACGTCACACCCATAGCCGCCTGACAACCGCATGACCTCCTTGACCACATCACATTTGCCTGTAGGCATGGATCCGTTCACCACTGATGGACAGACACTGCCAACCGGCCCCTTGCACCCTCTCACTTGGGTTGAGGACCACATCAGCGCCGCATTTCTTGGCCACCTCCAGCTTCCAGTCGTACAGATCAAGCGCTATCTAAATCGACCACACACACAACACTTACAGGCGTCTGATTCGCAGCTAGCACTCTCCGCACACAACTCCTTTTCTGTGGCACCGACCGCACCAGAAGCTTGGGTGACTTTTGCCTGACGCCGCCGACCATGCCTAGACCGATAGGACCTGCATGCCATGCACCACATGGCACGTGAGAGATCGCATGGGCGTGTGTGTGTCTTGTCTTGAGTTCTTGCTTCCTGGCTGGCTGGCTGGCTGGCTTGCTGACTGACTGACCGCATCCCGAGACGACCACAATGTCGGAGAACTGAACCGCACCCAACTCCACGCCATGCAACGAACAGGCGAGCGGCTCAGTGTAGACGGCATGCTCCTGAAATGACGCAAGCAAACAAACGCCACCACCCGCCCATGCCTTCTTGCTTTCGACTTCCTCTGGGCATTCACCCACCCCACCCCACACCTACCGGGGGCACGCTCTTGTCGATCTTGTGGTTCCTCGCCCTCGCAGGCAGCAGCACATAGTCAGCCATGGCCCCCTGTGTGCACTGGTGGAACCCATAGACGTCGTGCGGAATGCACATCTGATACGCCCCCCTCTCGCAGTATCGGCAGACGTCGCAGGGGCAGATCTGCTCGGATGTCACTTGGTCGCCGAGCGAGATCCCGTGCTTCTCCCCCGCCCCCTCGCCCAACGCCACAACATTGCCCACGAACTCATGACCGGGACGGACAGGCGGCTCCACGTACCTCGGGGTCTTGCGGCCATCACCCCAGAAGCGCGGCGCCCCGGCAAAGCACTTGGCGTCACCCGCACAGATGCCTGACAGAAGGGGGAAACCAGCAGGGAATCATCATTTGAAGATCTATGGCAGACACGCGAAGTGCGCGAGCACCTATGGCGGAGACCTTCAGCAGCACCTCCCCCGGCCCTGGTGCCGGTACTGTGATGCCGTCCTCGTGGCGGTAGTCACCGGGCCCGTAGCACACGACCCCTCCCATCGTCGATGGCACATCCTCACCATAAACCGCCATTGTTGTCATTTCCTTTCGCGCTCAGCCTCCTCCTGTTGGTCGGCGATTCGAATTCATCTACGAGAGCAGGAGAGAGAGAGAATCTCTTCGCTTCCAAGCTTAGTGGTTTGGTAGGGCATGTGATAGTCGCTTGTGTGATTGCGTTTGATGGGCTGTTCGGTTTATACCAGAGTGTTGCTATCATCCATGCCGTATGGTGCGCATGTGTTTCTGCGATCGCTTGTGTCTTTGCGTGTGCAAATCCATACCGACTCTACATCAGACGTGCTGGTCGCCCATGCTTCCGTGTAAACGATGACTTCCAAGCTCGCGTTCTCGATCAGAGAGGAGAGGCTTTTTCCCATTCCCAAGTGCATGTGGGAGTGCCTGGCATGCCGTGGTTATGCGAAGAATCGTGCAGAAAGACTGCAGGGGTCTCCTGTGCTCTTTGTGAATGTGCTTTGCGCAAGGTGATACTGGAAAGCTTCAGCTTATCCACAATGTCACAGGCCGTGATTGATTGATTGATTGATGGGGCAGTCTGACATCAGTGTAGACGCGGAAAGTCGAGACCCTGTCAACCGAATATAAAATGGAGACAGCGATCCCCCGCCCGTCCACCGCTCCATCCCCGCCCTTGTGGACCATGTGTGTGGTGGTCCGATGGCTGTCGTATCGACCTCTTTCCCTCTCTCGAGCGATAGACATCCCCTACACGGCAGCCAGCCACTATATAACGCCACAAATGCATGACAAACAGACAGACAGACAGCCAACCACCTACGCAACGATCACACAGACTCCACCAGTGTGTATGTGTGTGTGTGTCGGCTTTGAAACAACGGCAGCAGCGCAGCGATAGATCGACAAAGAAAATCAGAGAAACCACACACCATCTGGGCACTGTCATAAATGGCACGAACGGACGCCGATAAAGCATAAACATAAAGACACTCGACACTCACACACAGCACAACACATCACAATACAGCACAACACAGTCTCCCAACCCTCTGCTGCATCGCCCCCCCCCCCCCCCCCCCCCCCCCCCCCCCCCCCCCCCC